GGCCGGGAGCGGCCACTGCACTCCAGTCTGGGTGACAGAGTGAGACTCAAAAAAAAAAAAGATAAACAACACTTAAAGTCCAGGAGGAAATACTCTAGAGTAGTACTGTCTAGTGGAACTTTCTGTGACGGTGAAAGTGTTCAATGTCCATGCGCCTTATTGATTGATTGATTGATTGATTGATTGATTTATGAGTTGGAATCTCACTCTGTCACCCAGGCTGGAGTGCAGTGGCACACTCATGGCCACTGCAGCCTGGACCTGCTGAGCTCAGGTGTTCCTTCTGCCTCAGCCTTCCAAGTAGCTGGAACTACAGGCATGTGCCACCACACTCAGCTAATTTTTTGATTTATTGTAGAGATGAGGTCTCACCTAGTTGCCCAAGCTGCTCTCAAACCTGTGGGCTCTAGCAATCCTCTCACCTCAACTTCCCAAAGTGCTGGGATTATAGGCGTGAGCCAACACGTCTGGCGGCTTTTTAAATTTAAATGAATAAAATAAAAAGTTTAGTGGCTCATGCCCATAATCCCAACACTTCGAGAGACTGAGGCAGGAGGTTTGCTTGAGCCTGGGAGTTTGAGATCAGCCTGGGCAACATAGCAAAACTTTATCTCTACAAAAAAAAAATTAGCCAGGTATGGTAGTATCTCAGCTACTTGGGAGGCTAGGGTGGGAGGATCACCTGAGCCCAGGAAGTCAAGACTGTGGTAAGTGGTTGATCATGCCATTCTACTCCAGCTGGGTGACAGAGTAAGACTCCTGACTCAAAATAATAATAATAATAATAAAAACAAAAATTTCAGTTCCTCAGTCACAATGGCCACATTTCAAGCACGCAATAGCCACATATGCTGGTACTGTTCTGGACAGTACCTAAACTATTGTGTGTCTCCTTGGTAGGACTATGAATAACTTTTCATTTCTTTTTCTCCCTACAGATTTGTATTTTCTAAGTTTTGTTTGGTGGATATATATTTTTACAATGTATTAATAGATAAGATAAAGAACTGTCTTAAACTATTTTCCTGAAATTGAGACCATAAGGAATTCTTGTTTGAACTTCAAAATATCTGTCTGCAAATACTGTCTGTCCTTTTTCCAGTAGCAGGGAAAGATAAGGCCTTTCTCCTGCCAGCCTGCATCTGTGAAGGCTCCGAGTTCCTGTTTTCTTCCTTTTGCTGCAGTACTGCCTGCCCCTGTAACTTTGACATCCCGATAAGCACTAGACAGAGGCTGTGGCGTCAATAAAATAAAGGTCATGCCTTCATTTATGAATTCTTTGACTCCTGAATGTTACCCTTCATTTTACTACCTTAGCCCATTTTCACAACCCATATAAATCACCACAGAATCCTGGCTAATCCTTTTTTTTCCTTTTATGTGTACATTGTGGGGGAAGGGGAGAGAATCACCTTTGCAAATTTAATTAGCAATGAGAAGCAGCCCATAGAACCAGAAAGCTGTTTGCAATTAACTCCACAGAGCGTTCATTACTAAATGTGTATGTGCTTTAAATTAGGGTTTCTATACAAACTGCTTAATTATATTTTATTTTCTCTTCTGCTAAATAGTGAAACCAACTTCTAGCATAGAGAAGTACTTTCATACCACAAAGTATTATGAGAAAAGAAAATGTACATATTTCCAAATTCATCCAAAGCAGCCAGGTATACCTGGCACATGTACAGTGGCTTTATTTCTGGTCCTAAGTGGCTTTATTTCTGTCATCTGTCCAAACTCTTGCAGAAACAACAGAAATATGCTCTTCTCAAACGCCACTGAAAATTCATTCTATGTATCCTGTAGATATTCTTTGGGAAACTCACTGAAAGTCTGAAAATAAAGGGGTAAAAGAATACATGCAAAGCAGCCTCAGTGAAGGACTGAATCTAGCAGTGTTTGCAAATTTACAAGAAGGTGTGCAGAAAGGAACTCCAACCACATGACACAACCCTTGACCACATTTCTTGTTTTTTTGTTTTGTTTTGTTTTATTTTGTTTGAGTTGGAGTCTCACTCTGTCACCCAGACTGGAGTGCAGTGGCCTCTCCTGGCCACTGCCGCCTTGACCTGCTGGGCTCCGGCGATCCTTCCGCCTCAGCCTTCCGAGTAGCCAGAACTACAGGCGCGCACTACCACACCCAGCTAATTTTTGATTTATTGTAGAGATGAGGTCTCACCAAGTTTCCCAGGCGGGTCTCGAACCCGCGGGCTCAGACAATCCACTTACCTCGGCCTCCCAAAGTGCTGGGATTACAGGCTGAGCCACCGAGCCTGGCCCCCTTGACCACATTTCTTAAGAGAAAAAGGACAATTACAGAATCACATGCTGTGAAATATGTAAAGCTTTAGAAGAGATAATAAAGAGCATAAAATATTTAACTTTGCTAACAATCATAAATAAGAAAATAACATTATGTAAACACTCTAAACTTGCTTCCTTGGCCACTTCCCAAGTTATCAGCAAAAAGCAGAATAATTTATAAAATTCTAAAATATATATGCATAATGTATGTATACATTTTACATAAAACACATAAAAATGATGTATATAAAAATGTGTGGGCTTTTTACATTGTCTTCAAGAAAAAGCAAAAACAATACAAAACATAAAATAATATTGTGGGCCAGACGTGGTGGCTCACTTCTGTAATCCCAGCATTTTCGGAGGCTGAGGCAGGAGGACTGCTTGAGCCCAGGAGTTCAAGATCAGCCTAGGCAACATAGCATGACCTTGTCTCTAAAATATAAAATAAAGTCATTAGCTGGGCATGGTGGCACATGCCTTTAGTACTAGCTACTTGGGAGGTTGAGGTAGAAGGATCATCTAAGCTCAGGAGGTCAAGGCTGCAGTGCACTTGCACTCCAACCTGGACGACAGAGACCCAAACTCAAAATAATAATGATGATGATGATGATGATGTAAAACTCTGTAGTTGAGCTCAATAAAATGGAACATAGATCTATTTTGAGAGTTTATTAAAAAAACATGAACACCAATGGAATGGGAGAAAATATTTACAAATCATATCTCTGACAGGGGATTTGTATTCAGAATACATAAAGAACTCATACAACTCAATAATAAGATGTCCAATAACTCAATTTTAAAGTAGGCAAAAGATCCAAATAGATATTTCTCCAAAGAAGATATACAAATGGTCAATAAGCACAAGCTCAGCACCATTAACCATCAGGGAAATAAGATACCACTTCACACCCACAAAGATGGTTACAATAAAAAAGACAATAACAAATATCAGCAAGGATGTAGAGAAATCAAAACCTTCATACATTGCTAGTAAGAAGGTAAAAAACGGGGCAGTCACTTTGGAAAACAGTGACAGTTCCTCAAAAAGTTAAACATATAGTTACTATTGGATCTAGCTACTCTACTCCTAGATATACAGGGGTGCCAAAAAAATGTATACACACTTTAAGTATGGCCTTCACTCAAAGGATGGCATTATTCAAATGAATGCTAGCATCACCATGCAACAGGCAGGACAATCAAAGAAAATGGCAGAGGCAGGATTCAGTGGCTCAGCCTCTAATCCCAGCACTCTGGGAGGCCGAAGTGAGTGGATTGCTGGAGTCCGCAGGTTCGAGACCAGCCCAGGCAACTTGGTGAGACCTCATGTAGCTTCAATAAATAAAAAATTAGCCAGGCATGGTAGGGCACACCTATAGTTCTGGTTACTTGGAAGGCTGAGGTGGAAGGATCACCAGAGCCCAGCAGGTCAATGCTGGGGTGGCTGTGAGTGTGCCACTGCCCTCCAGCCTGGGCAACAGAGTGAGACTTCAACTAAAAAAAAAAAAAAAAAAGAAAAGAAAATGGCAGAAGCATAGTTGAGTGAATGTCATATTACACACTGCTACTGTAATTCAATTCAACTTCAAAAAGTAATACCTATATAACATCTCTTAAAATGTTATACATTCCAAAAGAACTGAAAACATATGTCCACATTATAAACTTGTCCATAAATGTTCAACAACAGCATTATCATGATAACCAAGAGGTAGAACAAACCCAACTGTCCATTAGCTGATGAAGGGATAAATAAAACATGGAATATTCACACAATGGAATATCATTCAGCCATAAAAAGCAATGAAATACTGATATATGCTACAACATGGACGAACCTTGAAAACATTAGGCAAAGACCACATATTATATAATATCATTTATATGAAATATCCAGAAAAGCTCAAGCTAGGAGTTGGAAAGTAAATTAGTGGTTGCCTAGGGCTGGGGGGATAGAATAACGGGTAAGCAGGGGTTTTTTTTTTTGGACAGTAAAAATGTTCTAAAATTGTAGTGACTATACAACTCTACAAATATAGGGTGAATTATATGGTATGCAAATGACATCACAACAAAAATACAATAAGACACTAATGTATCAGTGTGTATGTCTTCTGACTTCAACTATAGATTACAGAAAATTTTAACGTCATTATCTTCAGTAATCCTTATAACTGAATCACAATACATTTTTGTCTGGCAGTCCTTACAAAAAGGTTTGATAAACTGAACTGCTTTTGAGGCACTACGTTTCTTTTTACTCTTACATAAGAAAGTAAAATAAAATATTTAATTAAAAAACAAAACTAGGGCTGGGAATATTGGCTCATGCCTATAATCCCAGCACTCTGGAAGGTGGAGGCGAGAGGAATGCTTGAGCCCTGGGGTTCGAGACCAGCCTGAGCAACTTGGTGAGACCTCATCTCCACAATTAAAAAAAAAAATTAGCCAGCCATGGTGGCACATGCCTATAGTTCCAGCTTCTTGGAAAGCTGAGGTGGAAGGATCGCTGAGCCCAGCAGATTGAGGCTGAAGTAGCCATGAGTGTGCCACTGCAGTCCAGTCTGGAAGACAGAGATTTTGACTCAAAAAGAAAAAAAAGGTATTAACCCATTTGTGCAATTGAAAATGTCTTGGATTCAAGATTCAAAGATGAATATCTGGCCAGGTTTGGTGGCTCACATCTGTAATCCTAGCACTTTGGGAGGCCGAGGTGGGAGGATTTCTGAGCCCAGGAGTTTGCATCCAGCCTAGACAAAATAGTAAGACTGTGTCTCTACAAAGTAAAAAAATTAGCTACTTGAGAGGCTGAGGCAGAATTGCCTGAGCCCAGAAGATCAAGGCTGCTGTGAGCTGTGATGGTGCCACTGCACTCTAGCCTGGGTGACAGAGTAAGACTCCAACTCAAAAATAAAATATAAAATATGTAGGTGTTGATTGTGTTGCTATTGGACTGAATTTTCTCTCAGATCAGGCAACATACACTTAGTCAAAGTTAGACAAGGTATTTTTAAATGTTATAGGATACTGTAAAAACACACATTCAGGTGTTTGGTTTAGAATATAGCTTGGGCTACTGCCAAGCAAAGCTCTCCTGCACCATGGCAATGAGGGCTTTGTATAATCCTATCTCTGGTTTGTCTCATTTCTCATGGACTTTAGATTCACTAACCTCTATAACATGTAATAGAAATCAATCTAGGCCGGGCTTGGTGGCTAAGCCTGTAATTCCAGCACTTTGGGAGGCCAAGATGAGTGGATTGCTGGGGCCCACAGGTTCGAGACCAGCTGGGCAACTTGGCAAGACATCGTCTCTACAATCAAAAATAAAAAATTAGCCGGGTATGGTAGAGCGTGCCTGTAATTCTGGCTACTTGGAAGGCGGAGGCAGGAGGATCACCAGAGCCCAGCAGGTTGACACTGGAGTGGGTATGCCACTGCACTCCAGCCTGGGTGACAGGGTAAGATTCCAACTCAAAAAAAAAAAAGAGAGAGAAAGAAATCAGTCCACATTTTTAAATGTTTTCACCAAGACCAAAACCTAGGAGTCACTGCAAACCCTTCCCCCCCGCTCCCATATACATCAAATCCTAGTGCTTCAGCTTCCTAAACCCCTCTCAAATCTACCTTCTCTCCATTTCCATGGTCATGCCTTGGCTGAAGCTCTCAGCGTCTCATCTGGACAATCACACCTGCCACTCAAGCAGTCCGTAATCTCTCCCCTCACTAATACATGTGTCAGCCTCCCAGAGTGGTCTTTCGAAAACACAGACTAGCTGGATCACCCGCCTGCTATACATCTTTCTGTAGCTCCTCACCATCCATTAGATAAAGCCCAAATATCTGCCAAGGAATCATGGTCTTTCTTGCAGGTCTGGCCTCTGCCAATTTCCTAGCCTCATCTCTCACCACTCTCCCAGTTAACTCTGACACTCCTCTATACAACTACTTATCATTCCTATCATCCCTTTTATGTATGCTGGGATCCCTGCTTGGACCTGTGCCAGACATGATCTCCCCCTTTCTTCTGCCTGAAAACCTCTCAATATCTCCTTTAGGAATCTTTCCTAGTCATTTCGCTATGTGGGACTTACCATGCTGGGTTATATTATTACCTTTGTTCATACATTTGTAACCTACCAGACTGAAGCCCCCTTGAGGGACAGGGCTGTGTCTTAATCATCTTTGTAATCTGACCATCTAGCACAATGCTAAAGACAAGAAGTACACACACAAAAGACAAATGAACTAAAACAAAAAAAAAGTCTTAACGCCAAAGAGCAGAATACTGCACTAAACTTGGTCAAAATTAACTTTCAGAAGTGAGAATGATAAAGTAGTAGAACAGTGAAGGACACCTAACTGGGTCAGCCTAAAGCAATGACCTCTAGAGGGAGTTTTCTCCCCTACTTTGATCCTTTCCTAAAAATGACTTCTTGCTTATGCACGTTTGACACAATGGAGGCGATTCTGTTTAAAATAAGAATTGGTTTAACTATGAGGTGATCCTTTTCTCTATCCTCAACTTTGAAATATTCTCAGGTTTTGCCTATTTCTCACACACTCACAAGAACGAACTGACAAAAATGAAGATACTTAAAGCCCTTTAAGTTTGGTATCTTGCAGTCCCACTTGTTAAAACCTGAGAACATTTCAAAGTACTGCAATTAGTAAATTTATTATTGAAACAGTACCTTAAATATAACATGCCAAACAAGATAACTTTGTAAGCAAATTAAATTTACATACTTTAAAAACCTAATAGACAATGTATTATGTGTATCCTAATCTCACTAAAACTTTCCCCCTTCAGAGCTATTTTTTAAAATAAGTTTTAAAAACTCCTTGTTCTTCTCTCCTTTGCTCTTCCTGTCCTCCACAAAATAAAAATGTCTATCCACACACCAACAAATGCTCTTGTCCTGTTAGGCTGGAACCCAGGCCTCTTAAGAACAAAACTACCTGAAATGAGTTCTGGCCTAGGAAAAGGACAGGCCACTGGGCAATACCAGGACAGCAAGCCAGGCAGCACCCACCTGTAGCCCACCTTGCGGGCATAGTGCAGGCAATTCTCCTTTACGTGGGTCTGGAAGTAGGCAGAGCGACAGAGGACCCCACACTCCGGGCAGCAGTAGGGGGACTTGTGTGCATGAATCCGCTGGTGGGCACAGAAACTGCACTGGTTGGGCAGCAGCATCTGGCATACCTGGCAAGTCTAGGAAAGAACACCAAGAAAGCAGATCACGCAGGGGCTGCAGACCCGTGGCTCTCCAATAGGAGCAACTGGCTTTCCAGGACATGGGTCAGAGTAGCCCCTTCCCCCAACCACTTTCTCTTTCAACTCTCCTAGGGCACTTGTGACACCCCCACACCTTATTAAAGGTGTTGATACTGACACCCACACAATCTTTGCCTGCCACCTGAGGCCAGAGGAGTTGCTTAGAGAAGCATAGAAGCCAGCTTAAACGGGTTCCCACTGACCACAGATGGGATAATGTGGCATTTAATAATCAGAAACAAACCTGACCCTATTTTCCTAAAGATTAGTTTTACTTCTAGGATTGTATTTCTTTCCTCTGGCTTAGCAGAGGACCAGGTTTTTCTTTGTGAAAGCCAAAGGCACTTCTTGAATTCTAGGACCTCAGTGTACTGCCAGATGCATCAGCGTCTCTGTCTCAGCTCAGCAGAGGCAGTTCTTGCCATTCACCCCCCAAAATGGCCTGGTGGAGACCTGCTCAGCACCCCTAGTCAGGTGGTTCACTGACGTTCAAAGCAGACCTGAGCCTGCCATGAATAGTACTCAGCAGGCTCTTGATACAGACTGGCTTGAGTGGTCTTGTCAGTTTCATTGCCCCAGTCCTCTCTGCCCATTCTGGAGGGTGCCCTGAGCCAAAACTAAGCAAATACACCCACAGACAAGAACAAATTAGGTAGCAGATTCTTTGTTCCCAGCCCTAGGAGAAAACCAGAGGAGGTACGAGTCCTCCAGCTAGACTCAATGAAGCTCTAATGGGCAGAGCTCAGACATTCTAGAAGGGCAAGGCAAGAGACTGAGCTAGTACCTGCACCCTGGAGAGGCCTGTCACAGCTTCTTAGTAAAAACAGGACACCTGCCCTACTCACTGAGGGGCCTACTGACCTGGGGCCAGAGGAGTTACTTAGAGAGGCATAGAAGCCAGCTTAAAGGGGTTCCCATTGACCACAGATGGGATAATGTAAGCATCAAAAAGAATGACTGAACACATAAATATACTGCATAGATGAAAATCAATGAGTGCATTATGATAATAAAACTAAAAATAATAGAAATCACCGCATACTCATTAGGATGGCTATTATTTTTGAAAAACCAGATGGTAATAAGTGTTGGCAAGGATGAGGATGTGGGAAAAATGGAGTTCTTGTACACTGTTGGTGGAAATGTAACATGGTGTAGCTGCTGTGGAAAACAGTATAGTGGTACCTCAAAAAACTAAACATAGAAGTACTATACAATCCAGCAATGACACTTCTGGGTGTACACCCAAACTAACTAAAAGCAAAGTTTCAAAGAGATATTTGTATACCCATGTTCATAGCAACATTATTCACAACGGCTAAAACTTGGAAACAACCCAAGTGTCCATCAACAGATAAAAGGATAAACAAAATGTGGTGTATATATATATATATATATATATATATATATATATATATATACACACACACACACAATGGAATGTTATTCAGTCTTAATAAAAGAGGAAATTCTCACACATACTAAACATTGGATGAACGTTAAGGACATGCTAAGTGAAATAAACCAGCCACAAAAAACCAAAAACTATATGATTCCACTTGTATGAGGTAACTTGAGTAGTCAAAGCTCATGCGACAGAAATATGATGGTGGTTGCCAGGGGTTGGGGGGAGCAGGGAGGAAGGAGAAATGAGGAGTTATTTTTTAATGGGTACAGAATTTCAGTTTTGCAAGATGAAAAGAGTTCTGGAGATTGGCTGCATGACAATGTGGATATATTTAACATTAACACAACTGAACTGTATGCTTAAAAGTTATTAAGATGGGAAACTTCATGTTATGTATATTTTGCCACAATTAAAAAAATAGAAGACGGACTCTTAGAGTACCACTTGAGATTGCAGGGCATCAGTTCACTACTCTGAAAACTGCTCATTTTTATAAACAAACTACTCATTCCATTTTCCAACATAAATATAAAATAAGTTTCTTTGAGTCAGAGTCTCACTATGTCACCCAGACTGGAGTGCAGAAGCACGCTCACGGGCACCGCAACCTCGATCTACTGGGCTCAGGTGATCCTTCTGCCTCAGTCTTCCAAGTAGATGGAACTACAAGTACCTGCTACCACATCTGTCTAATTTTTTGATTTATTGTAGAGAATAGGTCTCATCATGTTGCCCAGGCTGGTCTCAAACCCCTGGGCTCTGGCAATCTTCCCACCTCAGCCTCCCAAAGTGCTGAGATTACAGGCTTGAGCCACCATGCCCAGCATTACTGTGTTTCAAAGTAACCAAATAGCCCTCATGGAAGTGGAAAAAATATTTTATACAGAATTCTAGCCAATAAGTGAGAAAAAAAAAAAAAAAGAAGTTATTTTGGAGTTCCTTTGGAACTCAACAAAATTAGATTTAAGCAGTGATTATTGATGGATACGAAAATCATTAGAGAAAAGGTAGAAAACTTTATAATGAAGGGATCAGAATATCACCATCTAAATTTACTGATCAAGTTCAGCATCATTAAAAGTGAGACAATCAGGCACTGTGTACCTCCTGAAGTACAAATTGAAACAGAAAGAACGCAGTACCCCCTACTTACACCTCTGACAAAACAGAACCTGAATCTAATCAAGTCTTTATTGCTAACTTCTGTACAGAAAAAATATGGGATATAGAGGAAAAAGAAGTAATCAGTGAAAGTCAGAATTGTCCTGAAAAAATCAGGAAGCAATCAGTCAAACATAGAATTGTCCTCAAAATTCTCAAGACACACGCATGAACCAGATTCTTCAGTAGATCAATGGCATGAAAAAAGGGGGTCCAGTGGGGTGGAGTGGGAAGAGGTACTGTTCTAGATTAAGCCATTTAAGAAACATGGCTCACGCCTGTAATCCCAGCATTTTGGGGGCAGAGGAGAGAGGACTGTCTGAGCACATGGGTTCAAGACCCAGCCTGGGCAACATGGTGAGACTTCATCTCTACAAGAAATGAAAAAATTAGCTGGACATGGTGGCACATACTGGTGGTTCCAGTTACTTGGAAGGCTGAGACAGAAGGATTACCTGAGCCCAGCGGGTCAAGGCTATGGTGGTCATGAGCGTGCCACTGCACTCCAGTCTGGGTAACAGAGTGAGACTCCAACTCAAAAAAATAAAAATAGAAGTAAAATATTATAAATTTTAAAAAAAGAAAGAAACATGAACAAATGTAATGTATGACTCATGCTTGATCCCTGATTGCAAAAAGACATTTTTTGAAAAAACTGGAAAAATGAATATGGACTTATGTTAGGTAATATTAAGGAACTGTTGTTAATTTTGTTAGATATAATAATGACAATATATTTAAATAAAAATGCTAAAAACAAGAAAAATAGCCCCTCTGTGCTGACATCCTGCCTGAACACCGTTGCTTGGAATGCAAGGGGAAGGGTACAAAGACGCCCTCAGTCACTGCAGAGGGAGGCATACTCCATTCTGGTACAGACTCCCAGGGAGAAGACAGAGAGCCCAAACCTACATCATCCCTGCAGTTCGTACTTGGTGCAGCCCAACCCACCCATACACCCCTGGCCATGGACGTGTGGCTTGTCATGTGGAAATCCAAGCCTAGCAGCCTCAGGACTAGTTTTTGATACCAGAGCTCAACTTTACCTTTTCCCTGAGACTCAGGTCAGATTTAGTACCATGAGATTGTGTAAGGCAGTCAAGCTAGGTGGAGACAGGTCTGAAGGCCTTCCTGGGCATGCTTCCCTTCCTGTCAGGGGGGTGCTCTTCTCCAGCTCCCAATAGGTGAGAATGACACAGAGGAGATGCAGGAGTGGAAGGGTGCCATGCCTGTCTGGAATCCGACACCCAGGGCTCTGCCTACTCAGATTTTAGAAGATGAACAAGGAGCAGTGTGAAAAAAACCCACAGGTTCAGGCATCAGACCTCCACTGCCAAGGATCTTCATCATATGACTCAGAGAAACACTGGCTCAACTCAACTATGCTGGTACAGCAAGAACACTGAAGCCCCTGGGGAAGGGGCCCAGCATGAGCACACTCTATCTGACTCATGGAGAGAAAATGCAAACTGAAACAGAGAGAGGGTGAAGAGGAGGCCACAAAATGACCCTACAGCACCTCCTGGCCCCTTTGGGGGTCTGGGTCCTCTGCAGAAGCCCCCCAAGCACACCACAGTCAATCTCCAGCTTCTACCCCAAAACTCCCAAGGCCAGCCCACACCCAACACCCCTGCTCCTCAAACCCACTCTGCACTCTCACAGACTTTTGCTCCCTATACCTGAGACATCCTTGCCTCTCTCGCTTCTCCAAACTCATCCTTGCAGGCCCAATTGAAATGTTCCACCTTTCTTATGATGGAATCACCATGAATCAGTCCCTAGTCTGAGCAACTAGGTTTATAACACTGTTTTAGCCCCAATCTCAGTCTGCCATACACAATAGCTGTTTGGATGATGATCCCTGCCCTTGCTAAGCCACTATGAGCTCCTGAGGAAGGTGCATCTCCCTTCTGCTGTCATTTCCAGTTCAGAACACAGCCCTCATGCACAGTGGGCATTTAGAGAACATGGGCAAAGCTACCAACACATGCACAGGCTCCTGGCCGAGCTGAAGTAAAAATGGCTGTTTTGCTTTCCTCCCAGGCCTCTGAAGTCCTGGCTGAGGGAAGCATGGAGAGAGATGGGCTTGGCAGGTCATGAAGAGAATCTCCTTCTGGAGGCATATCTGGAGGCCTTCTTTGTGGAACCTGCTAATACGTGACACAGATGGCCACCGACACACAGGGTGTTAAAGGGTATTCTCAGCACAGAATGCCATTAAAAAAAAAAAGCCAGATCTCATCAACTATAAGCAAGAATCAGAACAAGCAGATAAGCACAGTTGTTTTCTTGTAGTAAAAATACAGTTGAAAGGAGGCCCCAAAAGCCTCAGCCACAGGTCCTGCATGTTCATCCTCTCTTCTTCCATCTACCTCAGGCCTGCCACTGACCCTACTTCAGTTTCCCCAAAGGGACTCTACAAAAACAGCTGTGTCTGCTGCAGGCAGAACAACTCATTCAAGGCACAGTTTTTAGAAGAACAGACTGAGGTGCAGGGGCAGTGACTCCTACCTCTGCCCCAAATTCCCTGAGCTCATGCTAAGAACGTGATAACACCTGCCAGAGACCAGAGGGGAATCATCCAGTAAAGACCCACTCAGGCCTGATGATGAGCCCTGGCAGCCCACTGGAGTGGGAGTGGAGTGGAAATGGGGCATGTCCATAAGTACACTCGTCAGATCTTCAGGGGCTCTTCTCAGTTATGGACAGGGCCCCTATCCCAGTAAACATCGAGCACTAGATATTCAGGCAGGTCACTAACCATCAAGTAAGATGACCTCTTCTAAGACTCATAAGGATTCCACCAATGCCCCCACAGAAATGAGTTTTTCTCTCTGTGCCTGATTGTGGAACTGATGTGACCCTGGGCCCAACACCCATCACAGTCGGGATCTGCTTACCAGTCCCTCGGTCTCCTCTGTCGTCCTCTGGAAATGTGCAGCCAGGACCGTGAAGTCCCGCATCTGCTTGTGACATTCAAGACACTTGATCGCGTACCGGATGAGCCTCACAGGGTCTGGGTAGAGAGGCAAGGCTGGAAGAGGGGAGCTGGAACTGCCTGAAGTGAGACCATGTTTGGGAGAGGATGAGGGGGCCGGAGCTGCTGGTGCCGTGGAGTTCACAGGGGCCGACACAAACATTTGGTCCGCAGAGATGGGCTTTACGAGCAGCTGGGAACACTGCATGACGAGCCCCTTGCTCTTGTGGTCGCGGGCGTGCCGGAGCAGGCTGCACTTGTTGAAGAAGAGCAGTGTCTTGGAGCACAGAGTGCACAGCACCTCAATGTGGACACTCCGCCGGCCATAATGCTGGCTCAGGCTCTTCTCTAAGGCAAACGCGTCTCCACACTCCAGGCAGCAGTACCCACTGGCCGGCACGTGGATCCTGCTGTCTGCAGGTGGGCTGAGATTTGGCGCATAGAGGGGCACGGGGTTGGAGCTGTGGAGGACCTTGTTGAAGACCTCCACAATCAGTGGGGCAGCCTTTTTCACCTGGTGGACCAGGGGCACTGACATCTGTGTAAGCTGTGGCTGGCTCCGTCGCTGCGCTGAGGACTTGGCCGTCACTGAAGCGGCAACGCTGTGGGGGACGAGGTTCAGGTTGGCCAGGTGCACGGCTTTGGGCAGGAGGTTGGCAGGGGCCAGGGTGGATGCCTGCAATGCTGTGCTCTGTTGCTTCTTGCCCATTTGTGAGCCCAGGGCAGCCCCCTTTGGGACCCGGGGCCCAGAGCTGCAGCAGGGAGACGAAGAGTCACTGGACTTTGCCACGCTCTCGTCCCCTTTCCTGTCACCCTGGGGGCTCCCTGAATTTGTGCCTGACTCAGGAAAGTGCTCTTCCACCGGCACCTCGTCCCCTGGCACCTCGCTTGGGACCTCGGCAATGGCGCTCCCGAGAGGTGACCCAACAGGAGACTTACTTAGATCGTCGGGATCTGGCAGGATCCTTGTGACGGTCCGTTTGATTTCCCCTGATGATGTCTTAATGGTTTTGATTCTGACTTTGGGAATTGCTGGTGGGGAGCTGGCAGCCACAGAAGGGGAGCCTTTGCTGCTGCTGTCACTGCAGATGCTCCGAGGGCTGTCCGATGGCTTGATGCTTTTTCTAGTGGCCTCCAGAGGGCTCCGGGGACTCTTTGGTGACTTGGGCATTTTGGGGCTGCCTTTAGAACTCTCTTTAGTGGGCCCTGAGGGATCCTTCATGTGACCAGGTTGATCCTCTTTAGTGACACTGGCCACTCTTTTGGCCTGCAGGGCCACCAAGGCTGCTACACAAGAGGACAGCTTGGAATGAGCTGGTTTAAGACGCTGCCTAGGGGGGACGGATGAGTAGGGACCAAGCTCCCGGGCCAGCCCCTTGGCCTCTCCGATACTGTTGCTAGGGTGGCTATTGAACTCCAAAGCTTCTCCAAAGAATCGGCTGGCATCCAGCTCTTTGTGAGGTTCCACTGCCTTTTGCCCACCTTGCTCGTGTTCCTGCTGGCTCCCCAAGGGCAGGGGTTCTGGTTCTGGCTTGGGTTCTTTCTTACAGAAGTGATCAAACATATGCAGCTCTGGGACCGGAAACTTAGTCAGAGCCTCCAGGACTGGGCCCCCTACGGTCCCAGGAGGGGGTGGGAAATAACTATCAGAGTGCTTGGGCTTTATCCCAAACCCGTTGTCTTTGATGGGATCATCAGGTTCTGGGCTGGAGATTGGACTGAACTGGTTGAAGGTGGGTAATGGCTCTGACTTGGGAGGCTCCAGCTTGCCAGGGAAACTCCTGGCACTGTCCCCATTCATGAAAGTGGAATCGAATTTTCCACAGTTGTGCGGATCTGGAGGCAGGTCTGAGCCCCGGAATCCATTGTGCAGGAGGCTGGGAGCAATGTGATCTTTCTCTGCTTCAAATGACTCCTGGCGACTGGTGTTCTTGACAATGACACTCACGGCCGGCACATCTGGGGCTGATCCTGAGTGAGACAAGGACACACTTTCATCCATACACATGCCTGAAGGCTTGAGAGGACTCTCATTCTCCTCACTGGGTGTCTGGATGGCCTCCTTGGCGTCGAGGCTGGTAGGGTCTGGGATGTCAAAGGCAGCCAGAAGGTCATCAAAATCTGGGGTTTTCATATCCCCCATGGCTGGATGCTGGCAAGGACTATAACAGAAACAGAGAACAGAATCAGTGACCACAGGGTCCCACAGGACTCCATTCTGCACATCTTCATTGCATATTCATCCACTGAATGCACACATGCAGCTAGCACACCCATGTGGAACCTCACACACTATGATAGGAAATCACACACCTGAGTTTTACCCCAACAGGTTTCTACAGTGCTGGAGAGGTGGGGGGAGAAGTAGATAGAGCAGTTATATGTAGTGACAAGCCTGCCTGGCAGGTCTCAATATCTGGAAATTCCTGGCTGATTGCATAGCCAAAAAGAGGGTACACCCTACTATACTCCCTCAGTTTCTCAGGGAACATCATTATTCCTTGATCATGTGTGCTCACAAAAAGCCAACCACTCAGTGTTAAAAAAGTAAAATAAAAAGATTCTCACACCTCATCAACAAGGATACCTGCATAATGAACATTTGTATACCTAACCCTGAATTGTACCCCACATCTTTAAAAAATAAATATTTCTGAAATTTAAAAAAATAAAAAAAGATTCAACACTTTTTTCCTTTAGATAACTTCTGATTCATACATGAGACTTAGTCATAACTTCCTCTGCTAATTTACTGTTAGTAATCACCCACTAACTTCATATAACTTTGGGGCTTTTTGTTACATGAATTAAAACAAATCCAAAATGATTTGCAATTGTCAGGATTTCTGCTGTCTCATGAATAAACTCTAGAAAATTACATGATCCCTTAGGAATTTTTTTTCTCTATTCAGCAGACACATTTGATTCCTTGATTTTCACCCTAAAATTATTATTAGTTGGTGAATGGACCATTAAACCTGAGGAGCAGAAAGACTTGCAACATGGTTATCAAATTGACCAGGTGACAGTTTTAGGGAAGCCTAAATTCTATTTTGACTTAATACACAAAGAATAGGATAATAATTCTATTTGAACTTAATGTACCTGTTTCCTGGGGAAAGAGAGCTGCAGAATTATTGCAACAGAGGAAACCTAAAGCCCTAGAGAGAGACCTTACATTAGGAAATTATAAAATCACACTTAACAATGAAACATAAAACTAGCTGGCTCAACCCTGCTGGAGGGAGAAGAAAAATCTCACCATCTCCCTTGTGCAGCTTTAAATCCTGCAGCTGCTGCAGCATCCCAAGGCCTTACTGGTTCACACATGTCTTATATCATGTTCATGCTGAAAACCTTTCTGGATCAGATTGACACAACTCTGTGAGAAAGCAATATGGTATCTACACAGAACTCCACTTCCAGAAGTGTATCCTAAGAACAAAAATTCCCAAAAGCTACATGCAAAATTGTATGCTACAGTATTATTAAAATAGCACAAAAGAGAGACTATACACACAAAAGGAATCTAAACAGGGCCAGGTACAGTGACTCACACCTATAATCCCAGTGCTTTGGGAGGCCAAGGCAGGTGGATTGCTTGAGCCCAGGAGTTTGAGACCAGGTTGGGTAACATAGCATACACTTGTCTTTACAAAAAATAAAAAAATTAACCAGGCATGGTGGTGCATGCCTGTAGTTCCAACTACTTGAGATGCTGAGATGGAAGGATTGCCTGAGCCCGGAAGGTCAAGGCTGCTGTGAGCCATGATCATGCCACTGCACTCCAGTCTGGGCGACAGAGTGAGACTCCAACTCAAAAGAAAAAAAAGATCCTGAGTGTCTAAATATCCAAGACCAGGGAATGGTTAAATACTTGATGGACTATTATGCAGCCATTAAAAATTCTAATTATGAAATCCACAGAGCAACATGGAAAATTACTTATAATGTTAAGTTTTAAAAGATTGATACAAAAAATGCTGTCAGGCAATAATGATAACAATGCAAAACTAAGCATACATTTGAACCAAGATTAAAAGAAAAAGAAACATAATTATACAGAGTAGTGAAATTACTGCAAGTTTATTTTTTCAAAATTTTTTTGGTGGCTGATAGATTGTTCTTACAATTTTTAAAAGGGAAAATGGAAAAAAAATACCACTTAGAACCACAAAGGGAGCAGGTGGCATGACAGAGTATATCTCTTACCACCCCACGGGATCAACAGGTTTGCATGTTTGGTTTCCTGCCCCCTCCCAACTCTCAGCAAAACACACCAGCCTGCATGAGAGTTCTCTCAGAAAATGAAAACTACACCCCCTCCTATTGGGGAAGTACTTAATTATAGTAGGTAATAATAAGGTGAAATACCAATTATCTAAACATGGGTTGGCAGAATACCCCAACTGGAATGAGACGTAAAGTTTTAAACAGAACAAATGATTGTCTCCTGGAATAGGAAGTATTGGAGCCAATAAACTAGGGTAATATTCTGAATGCCACTGAAAGCAGTGGACTTCCCAATACCAAGTGAAATACTCTTCAGGGAGATCATCACTATAAGGAAATACCAGCTGATTTACTTTTTTTTTTTGAGTTGGAGTCTCACTCTGTCGCCCAGACTGGAGTGCAGTGGC